GAGTGCTCATATTCCCTAACTCTAAAGTAATTAGATTAAGTTATGCATTTATTTTGAAAATGTATTTAGCTACTACCTTTATAAATAAAATCTTTTTTTTTTTCATTTTTCTTTTATTATTCATATGTGCATACAAGGCTTGGTTCATTTCTCCCCCCTGCCCCCACCCCCTCCCTTACCACCCACTCCACCCCCTCCCGCTCCCCCCCCTCAATACCCAGCAGAAACTATTTTGCCCTTATCTCTAATTTTGTTGTAGAGAGAGTATAAGCAATAATAGGAAGGAACAAGGGGTTTTGCTGGTTGAGATAAGGATAGCTATACAGGGCATTGACTCACATTGATTTCCTGTGCGTGGGTGTTACCTTCTAGGTTAATTCTTTTTGATCTAACCTTTTCTCTAGTTCCTGGTCCCCTTTTCCTATTGGCCTCAGTTGCTTTAAGGTATCTGCTTTAGTTTCTCTGCATTAAGGGCAACAAATGCTAGCTAGTTTTTTAGGTGTCTTACCTATCCTCACCCCTCCCTTGTGTGCTCTCGCTTTTATCATGTGCTCATAGTCCAATCCCCTTGTTGTGTTTGCCCTTGATCTAATGTCCACATATGAGGGAGAACATACGATTTTTGGTCTTTTGGGCCAGGCTAACCTCACTCAGAATGATGTTCTCCAATTCCATCCATTTACCAGCGAATGATAACATTTCATTCTTCTTCATGGCTGCATAAAATTCCATTGTGTATAGATACCACATTTTCTTAATCCATTCGTCAGTGCTGGGGCATCTTGGCTGTTTCCATAACTTGGCTATTGTGAATAGTGCCGCAATAAACATGGATGTGCAGGTGCCTCTGGAGTAACAGTCTTTTGGGTATATCCCCAAGAGTGGTATTGCTGGATCAAATGGTAGATCATATAAATAAAATCTTTATACATTCAACAGCTAGAATTTTAAACTAGAAGTCAGAGTCATGAATTTTTCATTTCTAGTACCTTTTATCAAGATAAGACATCTTTATTCAAATAGTAGCTTTGAGAATAGGAATGTACACAAAAACCAATTTACTAATTACTGCTAGTACTGTGAATTTTAGTGCCTGGCCTTTAATCTTAACTCATACATCAAAACTCTATTCTCTTATGGTGTACAACCTTAGACTCTTATATTAGTTACAATTAGTAAGTTACATTACCTTTTTGAATGCACTTAGATGTGCCTTTAAAAGAAACACTTCTTGGAAAACCCATAAAAGATTCCTTAATGGCTTGCCAAAATTCAGGGATCTTCTAAATGTTCCTTTCTTAAATGTGCTATTCCAAGAAGCAGCCTGTAACTCATGAGACGGTTGTGAGAAAATAGTGTGTTACACTGTTTGGAATTCGTACTACCACTTTATTGTTGGGGATCTTAGGCAAATTATATAATTTTCCTTACCTGTAAAATGAAGAAAATTGCATTACATCAAAGGATTGTTGTGGGGACTCAAAATTAATGAATATACGGAAGCAGCACAGAGGCTCAGAGAGGAAAGGTGCTCAACAATCATTTGCTTATTTCTCAGATGGTTGTTGGAAAGGTTAAATAAGATCATAAATTCCATGTTCATATAGTTAGCAACACTTGAATATTGTCTGTTCTATAGTGAATACTCAGCAGTCGTTTTCTTTATCTAGTGAGTGCAATCACCAAACTGGATAATTCAATAGAGTTTTCACTTGGGGGCTTGTGTTTAGTGAGGCAGTGTTGTTTTTGATTAAAACATGGCAATGCACATTGGAACCACTGGAGTACAATTTCATAATAACAACCAAAAGCCTTTAAAATGCTATATCCTAGCCAGTGATCTCAAATTCCTACTTTTAGGAATTCACTCTTGGGAAATAATTAGAATTATGAAGATTTCTGATAAGATGTTTAGTGGACTGAACTGCAATGCAGGATAATAATACAAATAAAAGCAATCTAAATAATCTCTCTCTTTGATGGAAGAGTACGGAGCTGTCGAAGTCAAACTTTGAAGAAGATTTGATACAGGGAGCCAATAATCACAATAAAATGTTATATTTAAAAAGCAGCCTTTATATATATTGAGCCCAATTTTGCAAATACAGAAGTACCAGATAAATCAGTGAAGAAACTGGTTCCTGCTGGGTATTGGATAAACATGCCTGGATTATGATGCCCCTTAAACATCTGCAATTCTGATTGAATTAGATTCATATATTCAGTGTAGATAAACTGTGTGTATGTATTGATGAGAAACAAAACCAAGAAAAATGACTAGGAAAAAAACTCCATTATGTTAACAGTGTTATCCTTGGGTTATAAGTTTAATATGATTTCCTTCCCTTCTTTTGTTTTTCTGTATTCTCTGAATTTTCTTCAGTGCACATATTTTATAATCAGGAAAAGAAATTTGGGGCTGGCAGAGTGGCTCAAGTGCCTAGCAGTGAGTGAGGCACTGAGTTCAAATTCCAGTACCACAAAGAGAGAGAGAGAGAGATTTTTATTAAAACAGAGGGAAAATCAATTCCCTCTACCTTTTTGTCTATACTTTAGTGGTTTTCTCAGAAGAACCTTCTCTAGATAATCTTCAAAAACAAGAAGACTCCTATTTATATGATACAGGGAGTGTGTTTGCAGTAGACTAAGGATGGGACATCTTTTCACGTTTGTTCACTCACTGGATTCCTACCAGTTTATTCTGCACAGCCTAATGGCATAGCAACTTACACAGACTGACAGTCCCTACTCATTCTCCCCCCATACTCCTTCCAGCATAAAAAAAAAAGCTTCCTTCTTAATGGGTGCCCATAAAGTCCCCCCAAATACAGGATGTCAGAGATAAATCATCTCTAGCGGAATGGAGAGTAGCAAAGGTCATGTCATCAGCCCAGACTCAACCTGTTTAGAGATAGCTAGGGTGCTGGAGTAAGGCAGAGCAGGTTAGGATAGGGAAACTAACAGAGAGAAGGGGAGAAGTAGGCAAGGAAATGCTCTAGGCAGAGGGCAGTGGGGAGAGATACATGAGCTTACAGGAGTTGTAACAATAAACACAATCACATTAATACAAAGAGCTATATAAACAATAAACATATCTGGGATGCCATGGGTTATTCTCCTGCCTAAATGATGTTGATAAGCACTGACACTTTGACTCAGAATCCAGAGTATGTGGACCCAAAAAACAAAACAGAGAGAATGGAGAGTCCCAGGAGAAAGTCAACGTGAACAGGTAGGGAACATCTCTGTAAGAATACAGAAAAATCAACCTGAGAACTTTATGCGTCTTGTTCTCATTGTCATCTAGTCATCATTGGTGGAAGTTGTACTTGGAATCTGTCTTTGAAGAACAGAAAGCTGGACCTTGCTTGGGACTCTGGGAGAGGCAGTGTTTTAGCGGAAGACTGGCTTAGCTTGGGGACTTAAGAGTTCTGTACCCAGGGTGGTCCCCAGGCCTTGTAGTCCTGAATTGTCCCTCAGAAGGAGGATAATGAGAAGGTGTAAGCTAACATTGTTAATTGAACAGAGAGAAAAACAGATACTGACAAATATTATGAGAGATTGTTGAAGATTAAGAGAGAAGGTGAGAGTTTCAAAGAGGGAGCTCAGAGCCCTCTCACCTTCTTGTTGGAAATGGCTCACTTGATCTACTTTACTATAGGGTCACGCCCAACAATGCAGGCACAGCAGAGCCCAAAGTACCAGATAAGCCAACACAGAAACTAGCTCCTACTTGAATCAACAAATGTAGATGAAAAAATACTGCAAAATAAGGAACAAAATACATTTTTTTTTGTCCTCTAAAACACCTGTTGCTTTAGATTCAATCGGATTCATACACTTAGTGTAAAGTATGTATTTTCACTGATGGGAACTAAAACAACAGAAAACAAAACCATGGCCCAGAAAGGTTAATGACTTTTTCAAAGTCACACAGTGGCTTTCTGACTCCCAGTGCAGCTATCCTGCCACCAAGGGAAAGCAGCACTTCCATTCTCCCTGCTCTTGGCCTGCCTGACACCCACTCCTTCCAGACCAGCCTCCTCTCCACCCTGGCACACATTCAGATTTGGTTTGAACAAATGGCTGAACTCTTCTGGATCTTGGCTTTCTCAGATACAGTATGATGATGTGGGACAATGACAATACTCTGGAAGAGGGGTTTTTAAAATGTGGCCCTGAGCTGGACACCTACAATCCTGGCTACTCAGGTGGCAGAGATCAGGAGGATCGTGGTTCAAAGCCAGCCAGGGCAAATAGTTTGAGAGACCCTAGCTCAGAAAAACCCAACACACACAAAAAAAAGGGCTGGTGGAGTGGATCAAGGTATAGGTCCTGAGTACAACCTCCCTGGGAATTTATTAGAAAGACAATTTTTGCCCAGCCAGACCTACTGAATCAGAAACTGGAGGTGGGGCCCAGCTGTCTGCATTGGAATGAACTTTACAGGGAAGTTCTGCTACAGTCCAAGTTTGAGAATTACTGCTCTGACGTTTTCTCTTCAACACACAAGGAGGTAACTAAATTTCTCTGCAGCCACTACCTCCCATTCCACCCACCCTCCATCCCTTGTCCTGGCTGCTACATCCTCAATGGAGGTAAGGGTTCTTCCAACCCTCCCCAGTGGGTCGAGGGAGGCAGATTTCCTTGTCATTTTCTCTATTGTCCCTGCCTCAGTTTTTGTTTTTGGGTTTTTTTTGGGGGGGGTGGTGAACCATAACGTTTAATAACAGCAAGTTTGCTTTAGTGATTTATCCAACAGTTTGCAGAATGAAGGAGACATTGATAAGTGGGTGCCAGCAAAGTGCTGGGGAGAAGACATGGGGCCACAGGAGAAAAGGGGAGTGTCTGCAAGAGGAAAGGTTCAAGGTGAGGCTAAAGAGGATCCAGGTTGCCCCTGAGGGGGAGAAAGGCACAGGACAATGCTCTTGGTATAGGAAAGGGAAAGAAGTTGGAGGCTCAGCAGAAAGAAAGTGGGTGTTCAGTCCCGGCTTCCTGCCGCGGGGATCCTGAGTCCCGGCTGGCGGGTGTCAGCTGCCGCGCGCGCACCGCACACGCACAGACACACAGACAGACACGGACCCACACGTCCTCACAATCCGCCTCCCTCCCGGGCGGGCAGCTTCTCCGTGCCGGGCTCCTTTGTTGCTCCCGCTGCGGCCGCTCTCCGGTGTGTTGTGTCCCCGAGTGTCACCGTGCGTGTTGTGTGTCCCCGCGGCGCGGTGCTGTGTGGCTGTCCCCGCGCCCACCCCGCTGGCCCCCGGGCCCCTGGCTAACCCTTCGCCAGGCGCCGGCTGCACCAGAGGTGAGTCACGTCGCTGAAGTTTGTTTTCTTTTCATAAAAAGTTGTGTTTATTTGTCGGTTTGGGGAGGGGGGCTGGGGGGCGGCCGCAGGCCGGGCGATGCAGAGGGAGCGCGGGCGAGCGGCCGGCTGGCTGCGGGGGACGCGCGGCGGCCAAGCTGGGTCCCAGAGCTCAGAGGCTCCGGCTCGGCTCCGCCTGGGGGCCCGGACGCCGCCAGGCACCGAGAAATCCCCGCCGGGGCGCCTCGATCCCTGCCCGGCATCTGGCTCCCTTGGCCGAGTCGTGATCGTTCCGCGCCCGGGTTCCCGGAAGCTGCTCGGGTGGAAGGAGGGCCGGGACAGCCTCCCCAACTTGCCCCGAAGGCTGACACCAGCGCCCCGGCTCCCCAGCCAGGCCATGGGGGGAAGCCGCGCGGAGCTGGCAGATCCACCCAACACGCAACACCCATGCCTCCTCCGGACTGAGGTTATCACCGTGAGCCATTGAAAGCTGCTAAACAGCCTCAGAAAAGCACCCCTACCTGCAGGGATAGGTGGCTCTGGGGCCGGGACCGTGTGACCCGAGGTTGTGCTCTGGGAGTTTTTGTTTGTGTAACTGTGAGAAGGTGGGAAAATGAATCCGTAGGACAAATGGGATAGGAAGATTTTTCTGCTGGGGTTTGAAGAGCCTGCTTGACTTTCAGGTGCTCAATGTTAGTTCACTTTTCCAGGTCAGTGGAAGACTTTGAGGGGTGGGAGGCAGGTAGACCCGGAGATGGTTTTGTCTGTGTTTCAGAGATGGAGCGGCAGACGCAGAGTCCCTTGAACCAAGAGTTGTGCTCCTCTAGAGATGTGGCACTTAGAGCTAAGAATACCCAAACCACACACCAGCCATCCCAAACAGGCACTTTCTGGGTGTGGTGGGGTATTCTGCAGCAACCCCATCCCTTCCCTGCAAGCTCAAGTGAGTAGCATAAGTTTTTGACCCCGGAGTTACCTTTTTGAATGGATGGACTAACTGAAAAGTGTATTTTGGTTTCAGGCCCATGTGCCACCTCCATATGTTCCCCACCAGCACACATTTGTCACCTACTTCTTTGTTGTCAGGAATTTTGCAAGCACAGACCATTTAATGAATGTAGTTTTTAAAATTCTTGAATGTAAAAACATTTTTGATTAATTCCACATCTGGGTCCTAAAATAAGGCAGCCCAGCCCTGTGACGACTTTTTCATCTCTTTGGCTATAACCAATAACTTTATTTCCATTTTCTCAAGGATAGCATGGAAAATATTAAAACACAGTCTGTTTGGACTGCAGGGGGTGGGGCTGGGATGCCCATACATCTGGGTGACCTGTTTTCTGAACTTAAAGTGAATCTGAGGCAAGAGGTTGGCCATTTTGAGATGTGTAACAGGTTTCCCAGGAGCATTTCTGTGGTCTTATAATTGGCACATTTTAATGGTCTCATAATTGAGACCCAGAGGTCACCACAGCAATTCCAGAAGCACCTTGGGGTCAGCAGGACAGAGGTAAGGTGGAAACATCAGTGGAGTTATGATTTTCCTGCCAGATGAGTTTTCAGAGTGAGTTTATGCAAAGAGGTAAAAATGAAAGAAGTCATGGTTGCTTCCTTGTGCTTCTTCGCTGATACTGCCTACCCTCAAGAAGATTTATGGCTCAGAATTTGCCCCTTTAGAAGTCTGTCCCTATGGAGTCTGAGGATTGAGACCTCAAACACTGCTCCTTTTATCATCTTTCAAGATATCTCACAAGATCAACACTGCCAGAGACATTCACTCCAGAGAAACTACCCAAGCCACAGGCAGTTGGGAGCAGGCTGATAAGAGACCAGAATGGACTGTCTTCTACAAGGGCTGGGAAGGGAGGGTGTAGGGGAAGAACAGAGAGGATTCTGCTTAACTGCTAATTGATTGGCCAACTCATGATAAGGAGCGTGATTTATGTTCCTTTCTCTCCCTCAAATGAATCCAGAGATTTTACCTTCTTTGAAGTGTTTTTTCAAGGGTATTGGATCCCCACTCTCTTCAGCAACTGGTCTGTGGTTACCATGGCCTAAGATGAATAGGAGGATTTACTCATGAAATAATTCCTCTGACTTCCCCACAGACTCCCAGGACTTAAGAAAAGAGGGCAAGAAGTGAGCCCGAGGATCATAGTGTTCCAAGGGCCACAGAGGATCTGGGTTCAAGTTTTAGCAGTCACAGTATTATTTATGAATTGAGGGTTTAGCTCCATGTCTTTCAAAGTACAACTGAAGACCCAAGTGTGCTAGATAATTGCTGTGCAGTACTTTTTGGCCTCTGAATAAGAAAGTATTAACCTGACACCAAAAGGTATTTTACATTGGGAGTTTGCTTTCTTTTCTCCAAACTCTAATCCCCTCCTTGCTCTCTGGGAAGGAAATGGAAAATTGGGCAGGGAGAGAAAAGACAGTGATATGTCCACGTAGAAAAATCTTATTTATTTCTTGTACCTCCTTGTCACCTCCATACTTCAGTTCAGAAAATATTTAATGGTGCATCAGACATCAGGCTGAGAGCACCCTTGTCCTAGGAGAGTATTTTGCTTAGCCAAAGAGTGGTCCCTCTCAATTTTGTTTTTATTACACAAGCATCTACTACTAATTACCAAAAATGCTTTTAAGATTACCCACAATCCATTATAACATGACTTGTTTTTGTTTATGCATGTGCATATATACTTTATACACAGTTGTGATAAAAGTGTAGACTGTTTTCAACAGACAGCCCTCAAGTATTTCTGCATTTTGACCAAAGAGACTCAAAGAGAACTTAGCTATCCAGCCACTTTGCTGTTGGTGGGAATGAATCAAATCGTAACTGTGTTCCCACATGGAACCCTAACACTCAATATTTTCATAATTTGTGAGCCTGAATCAAATATTTGGGATTGGGGAGTGTGAGAGGGAGAGGGTGTTTGTTTTTAATTTAGAAATCCGTGTTTATAAAAAACATTCCTCAAGAAGATTTTTGCCTCCTTGGAGACCTCCAGGTTGGTCCTAGGTAGAGAAGCGGATGGATGATACAGGAAGGAAGGTTTAAAGAATCCATCTGCCTGTGGGATTAGGTTGGAGCCCTAGCTCCAACAGTCATAACCACTGTGCTCATCTGTTCCTACATATCCAGGTGCACAGATAGATTCCTTCTCTAGGCTTACCCAGACCTTCCTGCCCTTCCCTTTGTTACTCTACCATCTGTACCATCTTTTCCATTCCTGCTACCACTGTGCTTGTTGATGCCCTTGACAATTACTGCTGACACATGCCTGGGCTCCCCCCTGTCTACCTGTCACTGCCCTGCTTTCTCCATCATAGATCCATTATGTGAAGCAGCTCACAATCAAGTCTAAATCTAAATTTCTCAACCCACTTCGTTCCGCTTCATGGTAATTCAACTCAATAGGACCCTTCTGCTCAGCTTGACCCATACAGTAGCAGGCCTTGATTTTTGCTGGGTTCATTCCTTGCCTTCCGCTCTAACACCCCAGAACCTTGTCCTGTAAGCCCAACTTACTATGTACGAGGCCTGCTTGTACTGTGTTTTAAAGAAATATTTGGTGAATGTTGATGAAAATGTACTGCTGGATGCAAAGATAATGGTTTTGTAAAATGTAATCATTGTTCTTAATCCATTGTTCATTTCAGTTCTAGCAGGGAGCCAGGTAACTGGACATTTAAAGAGGCCTATAATCTTAGAAAAACTGTTTCCTTCTGTTTTCTTATTCATAAAGTGGGTTAATAAGGGATTACTATGGTTTATAGCAATGCACCTTATAAAAGGCAAATACTTTAGGACTCTATGTTTATTTTGTTGTTCACAAGACGAAACAATTCTCTTTCTCCTCAGTCCTGAAAAAGGTTTCCTGGAACCTATGACCCATGAAGTCTTCTCAACATTCATACCATCTGAGGGTAGCAGCAAAGAAGTAGAAGACATAGGTGAGGTTTTTCTGCTCTTGGTCTGATAGCTCTGGTCTATCGGGTCAGGTGGTTTTTCTTGGTTGGTGTTACCACTTGAACATAGCATTTCTCAGCCTTTAGCGTTGGAAGAGTCCGGTTTTGAGTGGAACCTGGACGTCAGTTTGGTTCTTGTGGTTCATATACTTTTAGTTAAAGCCTGAGGTGAACTGTCAGACATTTTGGATACAAATCATTAACTGAGAGATTTGGACTCTCTAAGCTTGCTATGGTAAAGTCCTGCTTAGGTTTGGGTGGGGAAAGTCAAGTGTTTATGCTTTTGTCAATGATATTACAGCAAATGCCTCATAGTCTGATGTACTGGTCATTGTTTATCTCACAAAAACCACAGGGATTCTGCTTCTTACCATTTTCTGAAATAAAACAAGGAAATAATTTCTCTTTTCCTAATGGCAAATTTGGCCTTATCTTCAAAGAAGGCTTTTAATATTTGGAATAAGATTATTGGGCAGTAGGGGGAACTCATAGCAGAAACACCATGGCCTGTAATACAGAAACAACTTAATTCAGTTGCCTGAGAAAGTAACAGGAAAGTGCAGAATATGGGCAGGCTAAGTAGGACTGAAGAAAAAGAACTCACAGGGGTTGATCAGTGGAAAGTATGTTATTCTCCTCCAAAATTAGTTTGGACAATGTTGCACAAGGTGAAGGTGATGAAGTATGTGTAGGCTGAAGAATTCTTCCTTTCAACAGGCTTTTGTTGTACATGCTGTTTGCCTGGCGGCATGGCACAGGCTGGCAGGGATCGATCCCAGAGCCCCTGGCATCCTGAATTCCACTGCTGCAGGGATGGGAAATGCAGAGCAACGCAATGCAAACTCTGGTGTGAAAGAACTTGCAGTGGGTCAATTAAGAAAGACTCCTTGAGGGAAGGGAGACAAAAATCTCAGGCCAGAGACTGGACAGGCAATACTAAATGTTCTTTTATCTCTGCCTACATGAGTTGTTCACTGTTTTGTCCTCCAATACTCATTTCTCCTCAATGGATGATAGGCTTAATTTTGCTGGAGACATGAGATTTCAAGTTCAGAGTAGTTTTGTTTTCCTTCTTCTTCTTCCTCCTCCTCCTTCTCCTTCCTCCTCCTCTTCTTCCTCTTCTCCTCCTTCAGAGGGAAAAAGGAGAAATGGGTGACCATTTTTTTTTTCTTTCTCGTCTATATCCAATTTTTAACTGAGAATTCTAGAAAACATACCTGAATTCAGCTAAAAAGCTTTCAATTTGTAGTAAGTTTGCTTGGCTTAGAGTAGAAGGTGAGAGGAAATTTACTTTAGGGACATAAAAGTCACTGTGCTTTCCAGGTGCTCAGAAGCCTCCTGGGCTGCCGAGAACTGGACATCACACAGGATGGGAGCTACAGGTAGGGGAGGAGGGGCCGTGCAGTGGCTGGCCTCAGAAACCCCTACCCAGACTGGGTTGGAAAGGGATTCTTGAAGAGAACCCTCCCCCACTTCCTTTTCTCTGCCAATATTTTTCCAGATTTGTCTAAGCCAAGAGTCTTTACTAGTCTGTACTTACCTAACATTGCAACTCCAACAGGTTTATTAGGTATGGGTCACAGTTAATTAAGAGGAAAATTGGGGGGTGCTGGGTTTATTGGTTTTCTGTGAAAGCAGAGGCTGCTCTTAATTGTTTCACAAATCCTCTCCCACTTGACTTTCTGTTTTCTGTCTCATGACTGTCACCTTACAGTGGGGTTACGGTAGCTCTCCTTCCATAGCTATGCCCAGGTGACAGGGATTAATGCATCAGTCAGCACAGTGCCTTCTTTTGCAAGTGAGATCACATGAAGTCACAGAAATTCACATCTGTTTACCTCTGTGGTTATGAATGGGTGTTTTGTAGTGAACAAGTTGTACACTAATCTGGTATATTCCAGCCCAGAGTTAGATTCTGATGGATCATCAAATGTGCAGACCCCTGAAACAACCACCTGCAGCTTTTCCTTGAGACTTCTGGTGGTCTGCCATCTGGGAAGGCCGAGTCAGCTCCAGGTGACAGGCCCACTGTCAGGTGCTTTCCCTTCTATAGGCTTCTGTGGCTAGATGGAGGCTGGGAGTGTGGTCTGGCTCTAGCAGGTCTGGCCTATGGCAGCTTGCCAGCAAGTTCCAGTGGGTGGTCTTTGACAATGAAAGAAGGGGGATGCAGGAGCTTAGCTCTCCTCCCCACAGAGGAACAACAAGGTGGCTTTCTATAGATGGGTTTCACATTGGCCACCAATCCCCTTGTCACTGGCACTCCATCCAAGTCTTGAGTGTGGGTGAAAAGAACTGAAGGTGATATTGTGATGGAGTTAATTTTCATTCCCTGATTTTTACAAATAAGCGTTCTGTGTAGGTGGAGAGCCTCCCCTGAAAGAGGATGCGCACATAGGGGCAACACGTACCCTTCATCCTGTGAGGGAAGCGCTACCATTGTCACTTATCAGGTAGAGAAGCAAACCTCCTAGTGCACACTCCTGCCCCACCACTCAGGGAATCAGTTATGGACCAGGAAGATCAGCTCATCCAAGTGCAAAGGAGGCTGTGCTGCCTGTACCTCCTTCTAGGAATGGGGAGAATGACAGCTGCCATTTAGTGAGCTCCTACTGTGTGCCAGCAGTGTGTTAAGCACTGTGGCATTGTTCTTGCAACCCCCAGCAGTTCTGTGAAGATGCTGTTCATTATTAACCTGTTCTGCAGATAAGAGCTGAAGCTTAAGTAATTATAGTGACTTGTTCTGGTCTCACGTAAGTGGCAAAGCCAAGATCTCATCACAGGTCTGCTGACTCCAAAACTAGTTTTGCAGTGGGGGGAAACAGAAAAAAAAAAAAAAGACACACACACACACCACACACACACACACAACACCCCCCCACACCCCCCCCCCTCAGACAAGCTGTTTTTAACTAGAACGGGTTTCTTTTGCAACTAACTACAAATAAGGGGCAGGTGAAGGTCTTTATGAGCCTTGTCTTAAATGACAAGAATGAAATGCTGGAACTACAACAGGATGGTTTTGAATAACCCAACAGCAGCAACGCCAGGGAAGCCCAGTATTGTGGCACAGCTAGTGTTGGACTTTATAGGCAGTGCTGACAGTCATATCTGTCTTGGGTTTCATCTTAGAACTTATCTTCGTATTTTTCCCCTCCCCAGGGACATTGTCTGACTCGGCTGGTCTGAACCCTTGAGCCCACTAAAGCTGCCAGGTGAATCCATTTGTGCCTAGGATCTCTGCAAGTCTGATCAAGCAGGTCCTCCGTGCCCTTGGTGCGGTGAGGGAGAGAAGCTGTTTGGCCCAGTAGATACTTTTCCTGGTCAGGAGAAGTGGCAGCTTGTACAGAAAAATACCCTGGGGAGGGAAGTAGCAGCTCTGACAGACAGGTAACTGACAGGAGATGCTACCTTCCAGGCAAATACTCACCGGGCAGCCAGCAGAAAGAATTTGACAGGCAGTTACCTGCAGAATCACAAAGCAGTCAGCTCCCTACGGGCTTAAGAGAGCTGTGGAGGTCTGGCAGCACAGGACGTGCAGTTACTCTTGTTCCTTGTTTTTCTTTAACAGATGTGGAAAGCCTGAAACCAAGATGCTCTGGGTGTGGGGAGACATGGGATATCTGGGTTTGAAGTGTAATGATGTGACTGGGGCAACAAAGAGGAAGTCATAGAACCCCTGAGTGCCTCCACTGCCTCACCTTGCAGGCTGCCTTCTTGAGCGCCTTGAGGAAGCAAGGAGATAACACAGGGGATACTTTGATTGAAAATGTTCCTGCTCGCCTCAGAAGCCCAAGGTCTTTGGCATCCGTGCTCACTCACCATGAGTTAAAAGATAAGAAATGCTAGGGTACTGGCTGGAGGTCACAGCCTGGGCATAAAGGCTGTGTCACTGTGATTAGGTTTGTGTTTTCTAAGTGCAGGAGCTTGAAGATCAGAGACCATTTGCTCACATTGTCAGAAACCCTCCTGGAGCTGAGTGTGATGGCACAGGCTGAAATCCCAGCTACTCAGAAGGAGACAGGAGGGTTGCAGTTTGAGGCCATTCAGGGCAAAATTTATTGAGACCCTATCTCAAAAATAAGCTGAGCACAGTGGTGCACTCCTAGGCTACTTGGGAGGCAAAAATAGGAGGACAGGATAGTCCAAGGCCAGCCTGGCAAAGTTAGGGCGAGGCCCTATCTGACAAACAAATTAAAAGCTAAAGACTGAAGGTATGGTTCAAGTGGTAGAGGCTTGTCTAGGAAGTCCGAGGCTCCAGGTTCAAACCCAGTACCACCAAAAAAAAAAAAAAAAGAAGAAAGGAAAAAAAATACAAAGAAAAAGCCTCCTGTATAACTCCAGACCAGCTTGTTTTCTCTCCTCTGTGGGAAAAGGCAGGAAGGTCTCAGGGGTCCAGCAGGAGTTGGGCAGGAAAAGAAGCCCTGGCAAAAGGATTGTGGGTAAGACCCTTCTTTGAGAGAGGAAGGGCTAGGAGTCCATGGCATTTCTGGGAGGTCCCTCTGAGAGGACAGGTATGCAGTGAATCTCACTAGAAAGAGGGTAGAATGCTGGAGAAAGATGGTTTGCAGGAACAGGCAGTGTTTCTGGAGCCATTCCACATTTGAGATTGTGTGGCATCTCGCAACCAGCCTGGTGTCAATTCTGCCTTTGCAGTCACTAAGTGTGTGCCCTGCTAGCTTACCTAAACTCTGAAACCCCAGTTTCTTAAGGTTGTTACAAATGGAAGGCAAAGTGACTCGTGCAAAGCCCATGCAATGCACTGGGAACTCTCAGGAGATAGCTGCTGTGCATGGTCAAAGACAGGAGGGCTCTTGGTAGGGTTGTGCAGCAACACAGATGAGCAGTAGGAAGCCCTGTTGGTGGAGCCCCTGCAGGTTCAAGGTCTACAGAGGAAAAGGAATGAGGATGAGAAAGAGGAGAACATAGTATGGCCAGGCCTGGTCACTGGGTGGGATAATCTCCACCAGCCTTCCCCAACTCAGCAT